TGCTGGTGACTGGAGCTGCAGCCACAAAAGGGGAGGGCCCATCAGCAGTCAGGGCTTCAGCCTTGTGGGAGGAGCTCCCAGCGATCAGAGCTTCATTCCTGCAGCAGGGGGGGGCCTAACTAGCAATCAGGGCTTCAGCCCCACAGGGCTGGGGGGGATCTGCTAGTGATCAGCGCTTCAGCCCCACAGCGTGGGCTGTGTCTGCACTGACTGCAGCCTGACTTGACTAGCAAGAGAAATATGAGACAATTTTTCTTTTTATTTAAAGGCAGGACACCTGAAAGAGGGCTTAAATAAGGGACTCTCCCATTAAAAACAGGATGAATGGTCATCCCTCACACACACTTCTTGAATCTCTGGGTGGAATGAGAAACTAACACAGAATTTCTCTTATGTATCCTTAATGTTTCTTTCACTCCTGTATCTAACAAATGGCACAACCTAAAACAGGGGTCAGCAACCTTTCAGAGGTGGAGTGCCGAGATTTGACTTATTCATCTCTACATAGAGGTCCAACTGCCAGTGATACTTTTTAAAGTCAATGATAGTCCTACTTACAACAGCTTCATTAATAAAGAAAGATGCAGATCTTACCTTTTAGTGCAGGGGTTGGCTACCTTTCAGAAACAGTGTAACAAAATTTAACTTATTCATGGATCTGTGTGCCGGTAAGGAGGGGAGGCAAGGCAAGGGCAGGCTAGATACAGTGACCATATTTTCTGAACCAGTTGCAGCTAGGGAGAATGGTTTAATTTTGGATTATTAAACAGATTAAGTATTTTAACAGTCAGGTGTGTCAAACTTCATTTTAAATAAAGTGAAATATTATGTCCAACATACAAAGGTTTCCATGTGTTCCTTGTTTATGGCAGGGGCGGGGAACCTTTTTATGGGTCAGGGGCCACTGACCCACAGAAAAATCATTTGGGAGCCACACAAGTGAGAAGCAAAAAAACTCCTTCAAAAACTCCCAAAAGTCACTCCCAACTGAGATACCTCACTCCTCTGGTGCCCTAGCCTCACAGGACAAGAGGAAAGATAGGGGAGGACTGAGGTTCAGGCTTCCGATAGATCAGATTTACTTTTTGGGGGGTTCTGGAGCAAGTGGATTTATGAACCTCTGTTAGACTCTGGAGTAGGGACAAAAATTAGGGGTTCAGTGCGCGAGACAGGGCTGCCAGCTAGTAGGATAGGGATGGGATGCAGGATCTGGGAGGGAAGTGTGGTGCAGAAGCGGGGGGAGAGTGTGTGAGCTCTGGATGGGAGGTAAGGTGCAGAAGTAGGCTGGGAATAGGGTGTCTGGCCATGTGGATGGAGCAGCAGCAAGGGAGGGTCCAGTGTATGGCCAGGAAAGAGGGTGCAGCAACAATGGAGCAGGATGGGGTGTCTGGCCAGTAGGGAGGGTGCAGGAACAAGGGAGAGGGTGTCTGACCAAACTGGGGATGTGGGATCTTGGTGTGGGGAGGGGAGTGAGAGGATTGTGGTGTGAGGGGGGGTAGGAGGGAGGGTCTGGGCACGAGTGGGGACCTTACCTGGCTTTGTGCCCCCTTGCAACAATGGCCATAGCCACATTGTTCTGGGATGCCCCGAAGGGAGGTCCTACTGCAGCTGTCTAGCCCCACGTGGTCCAGGGCCCTTCATAGGACCGCGTGGCCATAGCAGAAGTGCCTCTGGTCCCAGCCGAGATGCTGCTAAGGAACCTCAGCCCCAACACTGTCTCCTCTCACTGCAACCTAACCTGCTACAGGGAGGGGTTTCTACATAGTTTATTGTGAAAAAAAAACGTTTTGATTGTGGTCATGAAAATATCTAAATAGAATTTCATGTAGCTGTTAACTAGATTTTTTTTTCCACTGACTTTGTTGTGTGTCTTCTGTTAGAGTACTCCTAATTACAGAAGCATTACATATGCTCCTTGTTTCATCCTTATCTCTAATGAATCTGCTGGGAATTATGTTGTTAAACTCCCATTTGTTGAGCTGAGAAAAATACTCTGTATGCTGATACCTAAATTGCTTTGTATTTGGCTAATGCATATGTCTGGATATAAAAAATAAGTAGCACTGACTAGAATTCTGTAGTTGTTTAATCCAAAAGGTGTTATGAACACCCTGATGTTTTTATACCTTTATTCTTTGAAAAAGCAAGAATTTTCCACATGTGGTCCTGCTTCTTGTATTGAAATCATAGTGCTAGATGTTAAAACTCAGGAAGAATCCACCTACATTCTTCATGCTCAAAAGCAAATTTGATTAAAGGTGTGACACTAGTAAATGGATGATTGAGACAGTAACTGATTAGAATGCAAGAGTTTTGCCTTGACTCTCAAATTGTCTGGCATATATATTTGGGCAAGCAACTTCAACCATCTACCCTGCTATCCTATGTTTAATTAAAATTTAATTACTCTGGGACAGTAAGTAAGATCTTATCCTCTTCTTCAGATAACATCTTATCCAATGAAGCCTAACTGGTGGATAATGCATGTTTCCATCTAAGCTAACCCATCTGCAGCTATTTCAAGCAGGCCTACCAGTCATGCACATACTCCTTTCTCTGCACTCCTAGAATGTAGGTGTGGTGGAAAGTGACTTGCAAATTGAACACCTATCTGCAGTAACAGTGTGGAAGTGGTTCACCTAGTGGTAGAAGCAAGGACCATGATTAAGGGTGAACTCCTTTCCTCAGTGCCTCCCACTGAAGTGGAGAACTATAAACTAAAAGAACTGGATCTCGCCTAACCAACAGAAATCCCTTCTAGAAATCCCCCCTAGCTTATGCTTATCGGATAGTCAACAAGTCACTTCTCCCTTCCCCCTGCTGGGGGAGCAGGAGCCGGTGCTGGGGGGAGCTAGCTTAAAAGGGAGGAGGGGGAAGTAGGGGCACAACAGGGAAATGATTCAAGCAGGGACTGAAGCTGTGGCTGGCTCTGGCCTTGAGAAGTGCTGCATGGAGCATGGGCGCTTAAGCAGTCTCCCGCTCCCCCTTGTTCCCACAGCAGCCACTTCAGCCTGGTAGCTCTCACTACATTTAAAATGCAAGAGCTGCAGCGTGGGTGGTTCCCAAAGCCGGCATAAGCTAGGACTGCTCAGTCCCATCTCGAACTTGCTCTTGGAGCTACCCTTCACTGCAGCTCTGCAAAGCGGTCCTATCAACTAATCGATAAGCCTGATAACCACATTTTAACATCCTTAGCTGGTGAAATGTGAAATGGAACTTGGCAGCTAGCGAATCTGGTCTCTTGGTGTTGATGTTACTATAAGCATTGTCTCCTGCTGGAAGGAAGGATGCATTACTTACTCTTAGGGTTGGCATAGGATGATGGGCTAACTTTTGTTAAAGATAAAGAGTTTGCAATTTATTTATCAGCAATTTATTATAGCTAATTTCACTGTTAAGGTCGTGAGCAGGCAGAGCTGACTGGGCGAAGGCTGGCAAGTTTGGGATTGAAATTTGATACAATTATCCATTCCTCTATGACCAGAGCAACAGAAACCACTAACATAATCAGCAAACATCTTCCAGGTAAGAGGGTTTTGATAGCATAATGCTATCTCTTGCTTATGTATCAGCTTTTGATTTGTAATGTTCAGTTGAAATGTAGCCTTTCCTAGACCGCATTGCGCTTTTCAAATTCACTTTTAATTTAAAAACGAATTTAAAAAGTCACAAAGATTAATACAAATGAAGCAGAATTAAAAATAAATAAAATTGAGCTGACCCTTAGTAGTAAATATCTCAGTGTCTTACTGTGTAGGAGATCTTGTGAGTTTGCTTGTTTTTCAGGCAGTCCTCGGGTTATGTACAAGATAGGGACTGTAGGTTTGTTCTTAAGTTGAATTTGTACGTAAGTCGAAACTGGTGTCCAGATTCAGCCGCTGCTGAAACTGACCAGCGGCTGCATACAGGAAGTGACTACAGGCAGTC